CCACAGAACTGTGTATGATAGCGCAAACTAATATGTGATATGTATTCTTTGTTTTATACTGACGAGGATCATTGTCATCTCATAAATCACCTTCATCTCGGTTCCATATAGATAGATTTAAAGGTACTATGTCCCATTTTGCAGGCCACACAATGAAAAGGTTAAATTCCAACGGCATTTGAAAAATAATATTAATTTAGAACTTCCCTTAAAAAGGTATGGAAGTGTCTTTTTGTGGGAAAATAACGACCGTACTGTTGTCGAAACGACTTTAGTGAATGCAATCATTTTGGTAAATAGTCTGATTTTCAGACCCTTGTACCGAATGGTAGTACGTTTTTTGCTGAGCAAAGATTGAATCAGTTCAATTTTGGCCATTACAAGAAGTGGGTTATTCATGTAGACAAATGCTCATGTACCCTTTACAGCTCATTTTATGTATGTTATTACCAAAGAAGGAGAAAAAAGTTAGTTAGTTAGTCACTCGATAGTGTCTGACAGTGAAGTCTAAACAAGTAAATGGGTTTCCTTGCATAATTTGAATACTAGGACACTGCTAACGTTTAAATTTCACAGATAGGACATGCGTGACATATTCATAATTCCTGCAAAGTTCTACAGAATTTGATGTTGGCTGCAAATGGGACATAGTACCTTTAAAGTTGACTGTCAAAGTTACATCTATACGATTAACCGGTCAGTCATTAAAGCCTCGGGCAATAGCTTGGTTGTAACCTTCCCTTGAGCGTATATCAGTCATTAATACTATACTAGTGACCAATCATTAGCCCTTTCTAAGGGCGCGTCATGAAAATGAAATGCCTGGTCATATGTCCATTTCAACTAATCATTTGGTAAGGATCTACGTCATCATTATCTAATTCAGTTCACTTCACTTCACTTTCTTCGAGCATTTAAAATCAAATATACAAAGCATGTGATACAAATAAGAATACAAAATATATGGTTATGTTGTCCCTAAAAACCAAGGCTTGATAAACGGAGCACCCAATAAATATACAAGTATACAATTTTTGTTTAAATTACATAAATCATTATATACTAAACTACAGAATAACGAGAAGAAGAAAGGGGGAATGAAACCGAGAAAGAGAGGGAGAGAGAGAGGGGGGGGGGGTATAAAGGCAAATGGAAAATACGTGTTTATTTGGCATTACAAGATTATTATTGAACGTTTGATATTAGTTTTAAATGAAGTAACATATGAGAAAGAATTTACATCAGAAGGGGAACTATTCCATATTCGAGAACCAACAAATGTAAAGGAAATTAAAAATGTAATTCTGTAAAAGTAATGACACCCCTTCCTCAACCCCATACAGGTATCACAAGTCGTCTCCAGTACTTTGTCGATATCGACGTCAGAGCCATATGGATCAGCCCGATCTTCAGTTCCCCCTTCGCCGACTTCGGGTACGACATCTCCGACTTCAAGGACATTGATCCGGTCTTCGGGACCCTCGATGACTACGACGCGCTGATCAAGGAAGCACATAGACTAGGTGAGTTCTCGAGCGTCTAGTAAGTAAGGCACTGAGCTAGATATTTCATTGTATTATGAAGTGTTGTGGTCTAGTGGACAAGTCACCCGACCGCAGGTCACGAGGTATGGGGTTCGAGTCCCGCCGCGGCACTAATGTCCTTTGGCAAGACGTTAATCTACATTTGCCACTCTCCATCCAGGTGTTAAATGTGTACCCGGTAGGATGCGAAAGTTAATGTGGTTTGATTGATGAGCAAGTGCGTGCTTGTAAAATGGCGCCTGACTGGAATGCTCCCCAGGAAGCGGAGAATTTGCATACATTGTGTATATTGTAAGCTAGAATCCGACGACCGGGGTAATAGTATTGTAAAGCGCTTAGACACACCTCATAGACAATTCGTTGATGTGTTAAGCGCTATACATAAGCGGAATATGAGTATACTTTTTTACTTTCATAATGACAAATACTACAAACTCCATGAATTTAGATATTAATGGAGTTTGACAAAATATAGAGTGATTGTTACTACCGAGTTTTGTTCCCATTTTGAGGGATATAAATCTAAATCTATTCATTGTGAATTATTCACAATGAAGATTGTAGGATCGCATATGCTCCCAATATTATGTTCATTCGAACCAAATTCATTACCCCATACCAAAACCTGTATTACCTTTAACCATAACAACTATTACAAAACGAAGTAAAGAGACAAAGAACAACGAAAGGAGAATCTTTAGCTCAATTTCGATGCTGCTCCGTTCTCGTTTCCAAAAAGAACGACTAAGGAGTTTAACTCTTTATGTTGAATAGCTCCCTCTCAAGATTGATATTACTTTAGCTTCAAAACAATGTTTCTTGACTAAAATCGACCGATTTTCTATTCCCGTTTGGAAATTATATATCAGAACGGCATATTCCGAGATTTCCATGGTCGCAGCTATCATTGTATGGCCGTAGGCACTATTTGTAATTTATCGGGAGCACCGATAAATTTGATATTTTACAGCCCAATTTTTACAAAAGTTTCTTATTCTAACACTAGGTTTCGTATTGATTACGCAAATTTTAAATTTCGTAATCCAATCCTGTTGAAATATACCAAAACTTTGTGTTACCTTTAAGTTGTTATGGTACGAAGAATGTAATTAGTTTTGGAGACTGCAATGCTTTGGTTTCCAAAATAGTTTGTCCCTTTTTCCTTCCCAGGACTGAAGGTGATTTTGGACTTCGTACCGAACCACTCAAGTGATCAGCACCCTTGGTTCTTGGAGAGTAAGAAGAATCGGGACTACCGCAACCCGTATCGGGACTATTATGTTTGGAAAGACCCGAAAGCCGGCTGTACCTCGGTCGACCCGCGGGAATGCTTGCCGAATAACTGGGTAGGTCCATCGGGAATTTCCCGTGACATTCCTGCAGGGGATCGGGACTATTGTCATTATGGCTTTTAACGATCTAGAATTGTCATAAGAGAGAGGGGCGACATTTTTCCCGGATTTCTCCAGATTTCGGGAATACCGCTGGTCCTCTCAAGATCCCTTAGGAGCTGAAAAGAGAATTTAAAGAAAGATCCCGAGTTTCCCAATAAGACAGTATTTATCCTCGGTGATTGAAAAATGTACTAGGAAAGTTTTGAGACCGCCTCAGGGCTATAGTTTGAACCATTATGCCTGTCAAAGCAATACAAAATGTGATAGTATGAACTACTTTTAAATGGCCATAAAAGGTTTTGAAAAAAGTATTAATCCAATTAGAATGGATGAAAAACATGCCTGAAATTTTAAGGAGAATGATTAATGTTTACTGCAATAAGATGAAAATAACGTCATGTTTTTAAAGGACTTCTCGATTTGCAGAGGTACTAATTACTTCATAACATCTAATCACAAGAGATATATCAAATAAATTCCACTTGGTGCAAGCGGTCCATTACATCTTTTTTCTTCAATCATTTTAGATCGGTGTTTTCGGTGGCTCAGTTTGGGAGTGGGTCGAGGAAAGACAACAGTTTTATATGCATGCCTTCCTGAAAGAACAACCCGATCTGAACTACCTCGACGGTATAGTCAGAGACGAGATGAAGGTAATATGACGAACCCATTCACATTTTGCCAACGTGGAGTTCCAATCGGGGGTGGATCTAGAATTGGTTTTCAAAAAGGGGGATAATCCCAGAAAACACACAACTTCCTCAAGACGTTCGTTGTTACGTCATGAGGACGTTAAGGCATTTGTGGAACGTTTACCTTTACGACCCAAGTACTGAGATGCCGAAAATTTGGAAGAACATTTACAAGGGGGTATAGTATAAAAATAGGATGGGCAAAGAGTTTAGGTTTGCGCAATGGCTTTTAAAAGGGGGCACGAGCCAACCAGCCACCCGCCACTGCTATCAATGATAATCGATCATTTTCCATCTATTCATAAAATTGATCCGTTGGCAGTTTGATCACGTTACAAATAAACCTGCTGTTAAAGCGTCCACCTGTACAGAAAGGCCCGTCTATGATGAGGTGTCTTTTAAGAGATGAAAATCATTCGATAGAATAATAAGAATCTTATTTACCCAGTGAAACTACATCAGCAATGTCACTGTTTTCACCGAAAGCCCTGCAATAATGAACACCCCAGCGTTACTAGGTAGCCATTCAATACACCTGGCTGACTGGGTCACAAGGGAAAAGGGCAAATACCTTGTCTAAGGATGTAAGCACCGAGCGAGGATCAAACCCATGCAAGACTTCGGTTTAGAGTGTCACAAGAGACTTCACCAATGTACCAAAGTGCCTCCACTGACTAGGAACTTACAATCCTCTTATGCATGGCATCACTCTATTATACGATGACCACATGAGGTTGTCATCGTTTACTAGGTAATTGGTAACAGTAGATTATAATACATGAATAATATACGTTGTCAAATGTCGTTATAATTATGTTGTCAAAATATGCCGCAGTGCCCACACAATAACCAGTAACTTACAATCCTTTCTGGCATCACTCTAAGATGGCCACGTAACAGTTTTCATCTTTTACTTGGGTAGTCGGTATATTATGTTATCAAAATGTTCTTAATGGCCCGAATTCACAAAGCAAGGTTTGAGCTCAAACCTCCTTTTGTTTCGCCAAACCTCCTTTTGTTCTTTACAAACCAGGTTTGTAAAAAACGCGTAAAACGCGTCATATGACGTACGAAAACCAAGGTTTGTCGACAAACCTCCTTTGTGAATTCGTGCCAGTAAGCTTGTACAGAATAGTCTCAACATGAGGTAACTACCTTTCATTTTTTCCCGGGTGTTAATTAGGACGTTGTCCGTTTCTGGATGGAGCGGGGTGCTGACGGTCTCCGCGTGGACGCCGTGGCTCAGCTCATCGAAGACCATTACATGAGAGACGAACCTCCCGATCCAGCCTATAAACCGACTGGTAAAGAGACTAGGGTATGTTTAAGTATTCACTTCTGTATTCACTTCTGAATGACAAACGCCTATAAACCAAAACAACAACAACAACAAAATATTTTCTCATATGGGAAATCTTAAATTTGTGGTTGACTCTTTGGCCTGTCTGAATAATTAGCGAGTTTTCGCACGGCGACGCAAGTGCTGACTACGGGGTATTTAAATGATCTCGTACTAGCTCGACTCCCGATACAACGCTTATACGGCTGAATAACGTCGAAGGTTTGGACGCTACACGGAAATGTTCGCTCTGAGTGCAACCCCCCGCTAAGATTAGCGTTGTAGAAGGCCGCGTCGCCGGTTGCGAAAACTCGCTAATAATGACTCTTTCAGAGGGAGATGAAACTGTTTTTTCCCTTTCAAATAAGAAACCATAACAAGATGAGTATGTCTCATCGTTTCTTTCCTTAGCCCCAATGGACAAGCCTCCTTCACAACTACACCTTTAACCATCCTGAGCACCACACCTCCATTAGGTCATGGAGATCTGATGTCATGGATAAATATAGCACCGAGCCAAATTACAGGTAGGCAGGGGCGTTGAACCTGGGGTTCATTAAAGGTGATCATGGAGACAAAGACGTATGAACCCACCATACTCTTGTCTAGATTCTGGCCAGTTCTTAATTTTGTCTCTATAATATACAGTCATGCTTCAAACCACCGAAGATGGAGTTAGCAACGAACTCGTACGCCCAGATTTGTTTGCAGGGCCTGCAAGAAGAGTAGTGTTAATCATACTGATGCACAGTGACTACCCTGTGTAGATAGGACCAAATTATTACACTGTTACCCGTAAAGTTCTTTAACCTCTTTTCCTGAAAGATTGTTACAATATGATTTATCTTGATTGATGAAGAGCATATCTTCTCAGAACTATAAACTGGTCAATATCTTTGAAAGTTTAGATTGATCAGTGCAGCTCTGAGAAAATAATTATGAACTTAATTTTCCTATCAGACTGAATCATAATGTCATAAACATTTCATGTTAAGCCTTGGTCACAAATGCCATTGCGAACTGCTACGAACGCCGTACGAGATTCGTACGAACGATACGTTCGTACGAACCTTTGTGACCGTAGCTTTAAGTTGTAACATAACATTTATTCCAACTTAATGGGCGACAGTTTATCATCCTAATATTGGCTTCCAAACCAGATTCATGATGACGGAGACCTACGACGAACCGGCTAACCTCCTCGACTATTACGGCACCGAGGACGGGGCCGAGGCCGACTTCCCTTTCAACTTCCAACTCATCAGTCTCAATGCTGACAACCTATCGGGGAACAAGGTCTTCCAGCTGGTGGATGATTGGATGAAGGTCACCCTAGGAGACAAGTGGCCAAACTGGGTGGTAGGTCTCAAGAGTCAAGACTGCCCTTCTTTTTTAAAGGGACTTGGTAACATTGTTAAGATTAGAGAAATTGGTGATAAGGTAGTGACTTCATTGCAAGATGTACAAGTAAAGATAATCTGAGAGTTTGAGTGAGAACAGACCATTATTAATGAAAAAAATTGGGGAAAACTGATCTGTCGCGCAGTGACACCTTCAAAGAAAACCATAAATATCTTTGTGGTTTGAGAATTTTCTGCATGTTAGAGGGTTACTACAGTACAATGAATATAATAAGTAACATTTCATACACAAATTACGTAGTTTTTTCATAAACCTTCAACAATGTTACCCAGTCACTTAAAATGGGATGTTTACTCTGGCATCAGGCTGGCCTAGATATAAGTAATATGTGGAGTTTAAGGAAGTTCCTATAATGTTTTTAAGACCTGTAACTCTCTGATTTACCTTGCGAGCACCCTCCTTAATTAATAGTGCTGTCCAGAAAACTCTATTTTCCCCCAAAGAAATCATTATCTGATGCCTCCTGCCAGAATATCACTTTATATATTCGGGTAGAAAATGTATTTCACCATCGAAATACATAAGATAACTATATAAATCATTTCATATTCCCGAATGTGAATGTGACGACATACGGGCGCTTTTCACTGCCTAAAAAATTAATATGATTAAATACACTTATATTTTTGATGGTAGTTGTTTGACGCGTTGATAAATATTATCGAAGATTCGGTTTATGAACGTAAACATCATTGACAACAAAAGAACAGATGAATTTTCACATGGGCACGAGAAGCCATGCAGTTAACATACAAATAATAAACTTCAGTAAGGCCTTATTCACGCAAGCTTTTTATACCATTGAAACAGTCCAACATCCGACCTATATTATCCGAGGATGTTTGGACTGTTTCCAAGGTGACGAGGTTTATGAACGTAAACATCATTGACAACAAAAGAACAGATGAATTTTCACATGGGCACGAGAAGCCATGCAGTTAACATACAAATAATAAACTTCAGTAAGGCCTTATTCACGCAAGCTTTTTATACCATTGAAACAGTCCAACATCCGACCTATATTATCCGAGGATGTTTGGACTGTTTCCAAGGTGACGAGGACATGAAAAATGTATAATACTAATGCTCGAACTTAATGATGTGTGTTGTAAGTTTTATAAAATGGTGATGAGGATTCTTGTCGTTATTGTAATCATTCTCATCCAAACTTTCATTCACCTTGTCGAGTTTTAAAATTAACAAGCTTCCAACCGCCCGATCAAGACAACAAAAAAAATATGCCATTGACCGGCCGCTAGAAAGCTAGTGCAAACGACCTGTTACTCGCGTTAGAAAAATAAAAACCTGGTCGTGTTTTCACTCAAATCAATCATTTTGTAATAATTCCTTGATGATTTATCCTGAAAATTTCCCCAGATCGGCAATCATGACAATTTCCGCGCTGGACACCGTCTCGGCAAGCAGTTTGCCCGAGCTGCCAATGTGCTGAACCTCCTACTACCCGGTACACCGACCACGTACTACGGGGAAGAGCTGGGCATGGAACATATCAGTGTTACCTTCGAAGAGACGCAGGACCCTTCGGGAAAAAACAACCCGGTATGATTTACTTTTGATAGAATATTACGTTATTATGAATGAAATTAATTACAAAATAATTTAAGCTTCCTGAATATCACAGTGGAAAGCACCGGACACAATAATGACAGTCTGCTGTGCATTGTGCTGGTTGTGAGTCGGCATGACTTACGACAAACACAAACGTGTTACAATACAACTAATTGGTCCAGACTTTTCAGCAATATATTTGAAATATGAGAACATTTCAAAAAGAAGACTTTCACGTGGCATTGCTTCTTTGGTTATCTACACAGGAATGAAAAGAATAAGAAAGACCCAAACATTAAAAAAAAACTTTTTTCTAGATCTCTCAACCTTCTCTTTAAGACGGTGTGCATGGCCTTATAGGCAGATTTGGCACCATCGCATCTCTCCCCCTAGCTCCTCGGCCTCCCTAGCTCGGATCTTGCACTAGTGCCACACAGGCAAACTATACCCATACCAAAGCATATATCATAACTGTGCACTTTGTCATCGAAATTAAGCATGTTGATAGCTTCAGTGAAACATACACTGCCTCAATTGTGAAGCCTATAACCGTATTTATAATTAGATACAAAATTTGCCATCGGAAGAGGGAAGACGATCGAACTATATATGATTTAAGGACTAGAAATAGTCTCGCGTGAGGGCAGATGGAGTCTTCCAGCCTCTTCGTTGCATAATCTTTGTAACCTACTTATGTTAGCTATCGGCAAGCAATCCTCATAATAATCATAATTAATTTAGTTTTGACAAACATTAATCATTAATTTTTTGCAGTGTTGCTGGGAAGCCTACTCACGTGATCCTGAACGTTCTCCTATGCAGTGGAATACAGAGAAGAACGCTGGGTTTAGTACTGCACAGAAGACATGGCTACCAGTACACGAAAATTACTTGACGGGACTGAACGTTGAGGTATTGATTGAAAGATTGATAGGCTGAATTACTAGTTAAATTTGATTGATTGATATAGGCTGATGGTTGGTTGATGGATTGAGTGAGTGAGTGGGCGGGTGGGTTGGTGAGTGAGCTAGTGCGCGAGTATATTTGATTGGTTGACTAGCTGGTTGGCTGATGGAGTGAGTGAGTAGGAGGGTGGGTGATTGAGTGCGTGATTGATTGGTTGACTAGCTGGTTGGTTGATGGAGTGAGTGAGTGGGCGGGTTGATGAGTGAGTGAGTGCGTGATTGATTGGTTGACTAGCTGGTTGGTTGATGGAGTGAGTGAGTGGGCGGGTTGGTGAGTGAGTGCGTGATTCATTGGTTGACTAGCTGGTTGGCTGATGGAGTGAGTGAGTGAGTGGGCGGGTGGGTGAGTGAGTGCGTGATTGATTGGTTGACTAGCTGGTTGATTGATGGAGTGAGTGAGTGAGTGGGCGGGTGGGTGAGTGAGTGCGTGATTGATTGGTTGACTAGCTGGTTGATTGATGGAGTGAGTGAGTGAGTGAGTGGGCGGGTGAGTGAGTGCGTGATTCATTGGTTGACTAGCTGGTTGGTTGATGGAGTGAGTGAGTGAGTGGGCGGGTGGGTGAGTGAGTGCGTGATTGATTGGTTGACTAGCTGGTTGATTGATGGAGTGAGTGAGTGAGTGGGCGGGTGGGTGAGTGAGTGCGTGATTGATTGGTTGACTAGCTGGTTGGTTGATGGAGTGAGTGAGTGAGTGAGTGGGCGGGTGGGTGAGTGAGTGCGCGAGTATTTGATTGGTTGCATTGACAAGCTGGTAGGTTGATGGAGTGAGTGAGCGGGCGGGTGGGTGAGTGAGTCTGGAGTATTTGATTGATTAACTAGCTGGTTGGTTATTTGGTTGATTGGATTGTGTTGGTTGGTTACTTTGATATTAGAGGTTTGGGTTTGTTTATATATTGGTGTATGAGTGAGTTTTGTTGATTGAATGGTACGAGTTTGACAGTATAGAATGATTAATTGATATACGGACAGTTGAGTTCTTGGATGTTTGGATGATTCACTCAATTATTTAAATTAACGCATCAGAATTTGATTTTCTAACAAACTGTTACCAACGCTATCAGAACTACTTTCCCAAAATCAACCGAATGGCTATTTCAATACCTTCTGGTATGTTCTGTAGATATTAAGTTCGGATTACGTAATATGCCATTGTTCGCACATTTTTAAGGTTTCGTAAGGCCTACAAGCAAGGACAAGGCATTGAAATCCTCAGGGTAAATTTTCGAAAGTAGTTACGATCGAATTTGCTGTTGTTTAATTCGTGATTCATCCCAAATTATTGTTAGTGTTTGTACGATCGTTCTATAAAAGCATCTATTGTCAGTTTAATTTAATTACATTTATCAACAATTTCTGCCAAACAACAGTCACAACTCAAGGATCCCAAATCGATGCTCAATCTCTACAAGTCACTCGCGAAAATCCGCAAGCTCCGCCCAGCTTTCCACACCAACACTCTCCAGTACTCCGTCGTCAACGAGAACATCTTCTCTTTCCTGCGCGCGCCAGCCGCCGACGAATCACAGTACCCGTCTTATCTGGTTGCCATCAACTTCGGCAAGAGCGGTCCTGTGATTGGTGATTACGCCGGTGCACTTCGGACCAATGGCGTGGCGCTGAAGTCGAATGTGGGCGTGGTCGAAATTAGCTCGAACGTGGATCGAAATGGGGAGAAAGTGCCGCTCAACTCTATAGAGCTTCGATCTGGCGAGGCATTGGTTGTCCGAATTGGAGAAGAAAGGGACGAATTATAGAATGTTACACTTCTGTATTTTAGTAATAGTACCGCATAGCAATCATTAAACATTGAAAGTGACAAAGTGGACGAAGAAAAAAAGAAAACTTACGACGAATAATATGATCTAAGAAATATCTGTTTTTAATCATTAAAAGTGAAAAGTGAAAAACAAAATGCAAGTAATCACGCAAAACATCTAAGTATATGAACTTTACATCGGCCTGTATAACATGCACGGATTTAGAAAATGACTTATATAATTACAATGTATTTCTTTTGCCATGGAAATTTAATCTAGTCATGGATTTTGCTTTTCCCAAAAGGGATGAACGAGTTATTCAATTTACCTTTCTAATGATGCATTTCAATAGGATATAATAATATATTAATACTTAATGCTGCAGAGCATCGCCGTATCGGGCAATCCTCTAGTAAGCTTTAAACTCTTTAAGAATGGTCTCAGGGACGAATTTCAATAGAAAACGTATGGAATACAGCCATGACAGTGGAATAGATATATTCACAATAATAGTTATATAAGTTCTGTATAATGTGAATAGGCCTATGCAACAATTTGAAAGGAATATGGAAACGAAAAGCAAAGTAAATTTAACGATGGATTAGCGTATGCAATTCGATTTTGTTTCATTACATAGAAAAGTCTCTTTCCTTACGTCAATGTGTCGCAAACCGTCATTACTCTGTTATTTTCTTTTCTTTACATTTGAATACTATCATGTCCATAAGGAGCAAGTTATGATTATCAACACATTATGTAAAAGTGGGGATAAATGGTTGAAAGGAATTAGGTTTTCAAAATGTTCTTGCAGTCTGCCACTTCAAACTATTTAGCTTCGTAAGGCATTGATAAATCGTGATGATAATTACCCCAAAATGTTTTATTATTGAATCTGAAATTCTTGCATGTGCATATGTATCTTTGTCATGCTGGTTTTGCAAATGTACGCTGAAATATTTTTCTTGGAAATAATTATGAATGAAAATAAATTCGTGCAATTTTCAAGATTCGTTTCAACTACTAATTTTTGTTGGAATTTGTCTTAGTCAGAGTCACATGCGATACTGAACCGAAATGTCTGTCTTTTTCGTTCGTGGGTATTTTTCGCTGAAACTTCGTCTGGCTTCACTGAAATTCTCTCCTTCATTATGAAAGCGTCAAGAGGCAAATTGACAGAGAAAAAAACTTCTCCAAGCAGACGGATATTTCTGTTTAAGGTGATCCGATCTGCTCCTCCTCTTGTTGTGTTTCTTTAGTCCTCTTCAAGTTCAGTGTTGCAAATACTAGTATTTCATGTACATTCTCTATTCTCTCCCCATATCTCTCTCTCTCTCTCTCTCTCTCTCTCTCTCTCTATTTACCTATCTTTCTCTCTCTCTCTCTCTCTCTCTCTCTCTCTCTCTCTCTCTCTCGCCCTTCTATCTAACTCTTTCTCCCTCTCTCTCTCTCTTTCTCTTTCCCCTCTTCTCATACCCTTCCTTTTCCTCTTGTCTACTTCGGATTACCTACTGTTGTTTAGTCACATGACACTATCTTTTAAAAAAATCCTAGTCAAGTTAGATTGTAAAGCAGGGCTCCCACTTAGCCGAGTTGGAGCCTCGAGTTGTGACGAGCTGGCGCGATCTTATGGCAAGCAGTTTTATCATTAAAAACATATTGCTTGATATCAAGAATTAAATTCTTGATATCAAGAAATCGACTTCTTGATATCACGAAATCGAATTCTTGATATCAAGAATTACCATTGCTTTACAACGTAAAATTATTTCTTTAATGATAAAACAGCTTGCCATAAGATCGCGCCAGCTCGCCACAACTCGAGGCTCCAACTCGGTTAAGTGGGAGCCCTGCTTCACACAGTGAGTGATCCATGCCACCACCACCAACCAATAACAACAACGAACACCAGAAAACACAAACACCAACAACAACAAAAATAATAACACTACAAGTACTATACACTTTGCACCATCAGCTAGTGTGTCTATTCTAGGGGGCTCTTGCTCCCCCCCCCCTCCCCCCAAATGATTATAATAATAATATCTTTTTTGATGATCTGTGCATACTATGAACGTTAAATTACGATTAATCCTCCATCCTTCTGAATGATGGATTAATGCCCCTGCCATCTACCTGAACAGCGATTATCATCTATTTACTACAACCAGAACAATAATCTCTTAATATCCTCATCATCACTATCTTCACCACCACCACATCCACAATCACCCCCCCCCCCCCCCCCCCTGTCCCATCCCGACTACGCCTTTAAACTCAAAACACGACTATCAGTCATGCACATGAACGTGATCAAAGGCGAAGTGTGTAATATATTTCCTCCATTTTTTCAAACTCCGGTGAGAGCAGCCCTGCGATTGGTGATTTCGCCGGTGCACTTCGGACCAATGGCGTTTACTGACGTTTAGAGTGGGCGTGGTCGAATTGAGCTCGAATGCACATAGGAATGGGCACCGAGGGAGAGTGTTTCTGAACGCCATAGCATAACGGTCTGCAGAAGCGTTAGTATTTATAGTGATAACAAATCGGGGACGAAAAGAGCGCACTGTAGATAGTGACAACTCGAGAGGCGGAGGAGGGACTGAGGGGCACTTCTCAATTACTCAAATTTTATCGAGGGTATTTTATCCCGGATATAGGAAGAAGGAAGTAAAATAGTATTTCGAATGTTAAAAAGTTGATAAAAAGTCTAGCATTTAGCTGGGGGTTGGGGGTCGAATCCAAGAACGGCACTAACGTCCTTTGTCAAGATATTAACACGAAATTGCCACTCTCCACCGAAGTGGAAATGGGTACTTGGCAGTTGCAGGGGTAATGATAATTGCAGGGCCCGGAAGGATAATAATATTGTTACTGACGAGGTTACCCTGGGTAAATAGCCCCACTTATTATTATTCACTTCAAAAGTGAATTGATGCATTTTCCAGCTGCCGTTTATAATTTGAAAGTTGCGTTTCTCATTGTTCCTCTTTTTCCAACTTTCTTTCTGTCATCCCCCCTTTTCTCTTTTTTTTTTCTCTCTTCCTTACTCTTCTCGTCTCTCTCTCTCTCTCTCTCTCTCTCTCTCTCTCTCTCTCTCGCTGTATGTCTCACTACCTCCCCTCATTTTCTCTCTCTCTCTCCATTTCAACTTTCTTTTGCTATTCATCATCATGAATACAAGACTTTCAAGTACCAGTAATCAACCTTGAACCTAGTTATTGGTGACAAGACCACTCCTCTACCATTGTCATTGTGCCTTCTTAAAGAATGCCCAAATGTAATATAAAACCCGGACACGAGTTCTAAATGGCAACACAATAGGGTACAGATATTGTCCTTACGTGACTTCAGGAAAGACTTCGCAATCATAATAAATACAACAAAAATCAAGAAGTATGCACTGACAGAGACAAAAATAATAACATAATCGAAGCACAACTCATTTGTTGGATGGAATCTAAGTGAAGTTTTAATTTTGAAACAAGAAATGGGATTTGTGGGGATAAATTACCCAAAGTGAACTATTTCATATTTATTTTTTTCCTTCCAAACTGAATATCATCCACCAGACAAGATGAACAGGAACTTACACAATTGTGTTGTTTTTACAGAATTTTGTACAAGACTTCTTCTTACTCTTTGAACAAGAAGAAATCACTTTTTCATTTTTTTTCTTCCATTTTTTTTCTTCTTCATCATAGAACAGCTGCAGCTTTTAAATATGCAGAAGCAAGAAACAAGAGTCAAAGGGTTTATACATAAATGATGCACATGTCACAAGACCTTACACTTTAGACAATTCGAAATGTTCCAGACTTACAAAGAGAATTCATTTTTTACCCCTACTTTATCCAAACATAGGTTATTCATTTTTCTGCTGATTGATTTATATATTTACAATCCTGTTCATTGTACAGCGCACACCTACAAAGCATGTTGAACGACTGAGCTTAAAGAAAGCACAATTTAAGAAAGGACATCGTTACGGCCTTTCTCAAAAACACATGCTTTCTCCTATAAAAAAATTCTGAAATTGTGATTTTCATACAAATACATGTACATTGAAAAAGTAACAGTTACGACGTATAGTTCGAATATCTTCAAAAAGTCTTGTGCATCCCAGTTTTCAATCTTTTATCCAACTACTTTTTACACTTTTTGTGACTGTACAATTTATTCTTCAGCTAGGAGAGAGAAAACAAAAACAATGAATACCGACCCAACTATTTAACAAATATTTATCACAATTACTCCAGTGCATTTGAACAATAAATTCAATCTAGCATGTGGTCCATTCACAACCAAATTCTGATTCGAATCAGGTCATTCTCATTTATATCTCTTTCCTAAGAGTCAATTGATTGAAAAACAGAAATTATGAATGTAAAGGACTTTTTAGGTAGCGTATATGGTGTTTAAAAAGCAACACAATTAAAAGTACAGTACAAAAACTATATTAGGCTATCTGTAAGCTCGCATTACTAAGACATGGTTTTTCTTCTTTCCTTCCAATGAAATTCTGAACATCATATCACGGTGCAAGATATGTACAAATGTTTACTCTTTTTTTTTACAAGACTGAGGGAAACAGGTCATCATCAGAATAATATAAATGAGAAAATGATAAAAACTTGGGAAATACACACAGCTAATTGTTGATTCATTTGGAAATACACAGTAAAAAAAAAGAAATTACGTCACAAAATGTTAATCTGCATGTACCGTTTTTGTTAATACATACTTCTTTCTGCTTACTGAGACCCTTCATCAAAAGAGAATCTAAATTTTATTTTGTTCCCCTGTAACCGCCTTGTTTGACCACAGAACCATTCCTATAAATTTGGGATGTTTGAAAGGATTCTGAAGCCTCCCTCCCTCACTGTATATTGCATCCGTCCAATTTTTTCATTTTTTTTTCTAGAAAAAAATTTGTTTCTCTCTCTCAGATTTCCTGAATAAAAAAAAGTCTGTTCTACCCACTGACGATTCTTTCAACGCAGCTACAAAAACAATCTATACAATGGATCATGCAGTACTTGAAAAACTTAAATATCACATAATTTGTCATAATAAAACACATTTCAAGTCTGCCTTTTCCCCGGATACGATATATTCCGATAATGCTTACATTAACCTGAATTTCAGAAAACAACGATAGAGAAGAATACACACAGTAGTCCCCAGTCGTCACCAAATAAAATAATTAGAAAAGGTGAGCGGTTAGTTGATGTGGCAAAAGAATCCTTGGGATCCAAATGCATGCACATCACTTAGTTTGGTTGGGAACATGCATGAGATGGTCTAACAAACTTTGCAAATCCTAAAATTGAAGTACCTGCTCGGCAGGTCTACTGTTAAACCAAAAGGTTTTGCAAACATCGAAAATTGCTCAGATCTAAGAACGTTGCATGCTGCAAAACGATTGAATCACAACTTACACCATACAAAATGTTTGCAATTCGCAAAAGGTTCTCGCTGCAAAAAGAAGCCGTTGTCTAAAATTAGCTAAGTCTCATGCCGTAAAAATTCAGTTTTTTCAGTAATAACACGTTCCCCAGAAAGGTATACAAAATTCAGGCCAGACTTGAATAAAAAAGAAACTATTTAACTTTACAGGGAATGATTGATTGGCAGCACATAACATGCTACTTAAATCATCATTTTTTCTTTCTCATACTAGTATCAGAATTCCAAGAAAGCTGCGCAAAGTCCAGACTTTGCTCACTGAATTTATATATTAAAAATAAAAAATAAACAGGACGATTGAAGACGCATGGAAACACGGAGAGAAATTCTTTATACAATACAGTTCTTGGTGTAGCATGAACTTATGAACAGAGTTTTTGACAAGAGAGTTAGTCCCCACCGTCGTCACCACCATCGTCTACCCCGTCGTCATCGTCGTCACCTTCCACCTCCTCGACTATGTCACCTTCGATGTCCTCATCGTCATCGTCATCCTACAGAGATGGGGTGAGAAAAGAAGCAACAAATCAAATATACAGGTGAACATTATTATATTACACTCCTTGGGACCAAGGAAATGGCCTTCTAATATTAAAAAGTACCGTATTTGCCAGCGTTAAGGCCGACATTTTGTAGAAGAAAAAAAACATCACTAATAATATCATCGATTTATAATCATCCACTATCCAATTGAGCCATATTTACATTATCATCACCATCATCATCAACAAACTTCCAAGACAATGGCTTATTATTCTAGAAATGTCCTGTCCCATTGTACATTAACTGGTATAGTCAATGTAGTCCCAGATGTAGGAATACGTGCTGTTTTGACCGCGCATCTTTGACTGTTGTTGCACATAGGCCGCACCGAGACTTTTTCGATATTTTCTCTTCCAAAAATACTTCGTCTTCTACACCTGCAAATACAGTACTTATATTGCAATTGCTGGGGTATTAAAGGTAACACAAAGTTTTGGAAAAAAATTGAAAATTGGGTGGATAGTGATTCTTTACCATTTTGATATATTTGGATGCCCCTGCGGATGTGTTAAAAAGCACTAGAAAATTTGGTCCCTAAAACACTTCCGCTGTCGAGAAAAATTGAATATAAAAATTTACCGGTGCTCCCGGTAAATTTTGATAAATTTCAAATAGAGTAATGGCAGCTGCGACCATGAAAATCTCAGAATATGTAGTTTTTATATAAAATTTCCAAATGGGAATAACTAATTTTAGTCTATTTTAGTCGATTTTAGTCAAAAAATATTATTTTATAGCTCAATTAATATCTTGACCTTGTGAGGGAGCTATACAGCATAAAGTGTTTATTATTTACAATTTCATAACATTAGACTCGATTTCAACCGCGACAACAATCACTGATTATTGTAGGATGGCATATGCTTCCAATATGTTCATTTGAACCAAATTTATGAACCCATACCAAAACTTTGTATTACCTTTAAGGATTGCACAGCCTTTATTTGCATATTTATGGTAATTTATGCAAATATGGTAATAACATTCACATTTTATCCATAAATCATATATTCTTCATATTTAAACATTAATTTTCACTACATATATTATTTAGACCATTTGGGATAATAATACAGCCAAAAAAATTGGAAGAGCCAGGTTATTCCTTATGTTATCTATTGTTTTGATAATTTCTTATGTATCACTTTGTTTTTTTAACTTATTTATTTGATTGTTTTTGTTGTTTTATTTCATTTCCAACTATAATTCAACTATTTTGACCCCAAAATAAACACCTAAACTATAAACAAGACCAAATAACCAATGTTTTATCTCTCTATCTGAAAAATGAGATTTCCATACGTTTTGTACACAAATCACAAAAATGAGCGATTTTCGAAAGATGCAAGATTTTCTTGTTAAAAAATTATCGCGAAAAATGTCGAAGGGGGGGGGGCTTCTAAAAGCCAACCCCCCCCCCCTCCCCCCAGACTAAATAGGGTTAACCCTTTTAAAAGGCCAGTTATTTTGATGGTCCCAAAGTCTGTATACCCCCCCCCCCCCCATCACTTTGTTGAAAAAGAAAAAGAAAAACACAACTAATCAGCTTCTGCATTTTTGTTTACATGGGCACTTACCAGGGTTACTTAAAGATAAATTCAACTTACGTCATCATCGTCATCCTCTCCTTCGATGTCATCTTCACCGCCATCGCTACCATCTAAGTCATCCTCGCCGTCGAGGTCATCATCATCCAGGTCGTCATCATCCTCTCCCTCATCATACTCATCCAGGGCTTCAAGCTCCCCACTGTCCATGATGTCACTCGTTCCCTCGTCCTCTGCAGGAGGCACCTGTGGGTTCGCAGAAATTATTTTTGTTATCGAAACCCAAATACTTGGGACACAATTACAAACACTACCCTGCGAATCCTTAATCACCTTAAAGTACAAGTCCACTCCAAAAATAACTTACTTTCAATAGAAGCAGACAAATCAAACTAATCAATCGAAAAAAGTTTGAGCAAAATCGGATTAATAATAAGTTATGAATTTTTGAAAAGTATGTAAAACTATGGAACAATAAAAATCATAAATTGCCAATTTGGTTATCAGAAAATTACTATATTACTCCTATTAGACTTGAGTAGTGAATTTGATACTATAATCATTCTTGCTTATTGGAATCGTTAAAACTTTTTTTTCAGTATGATGGTGTTGGTCTAAGATGGATAGAGTCATATTTGGCAGGCAGACATCAACAGATTAAAATTGATGCTTTTCCAGAACCTTTTGGGGTCCCACAAGGGTCTAGGCTGGTTCCTCTATTATTCACTCTGTACACAGGCAATCTCATTACCTAATCCAAAATAAATTCTGTGGAATATCACGCAGATGACACACAGATGTATTCGTCTTCCAGGCCTGAAGTTCTTGAAGGGCAAACCATCTCGCAAAATGACAGCAAAACTGAATTGTAACTCATGACAGCTAACCTAAATTGTTGCTTATTGGCACTTCTAAACAAGTATCCAAACTTAAATTCATTGGAGTATCTGTCGGAAGTTCTTCAAAAAACCATCACTCAGAGCTAGAAATCTAAGAGCACTTTTGACAAACATTTAAATATGGAAGCACAAAGTTACAAGCATACCTAAATCAACATACCTGCCATATAACCTCCAAAGTAATCGAAAATAATTTGATCAGGTCAATGAGGACAGTATTAGAATATTTGTTGAAGTTTGCATTATTATAAAGGGTTATTGTGTGGGCTCCCTGACTCACACATAGGGCGACTGCAGCAGGCCCAGAACACTTGTTCAATACTGATTTGTGGTTGTTTATATTTCTCACGGTTCACCCCTCTTTTGAAAGATCTGCACTGGCTACTGGTATCCCACAGAATATCATTCAAGATTCTATTTGATTGTCTTTAGCTCACCAATCAGTCGAGCCCCTGGTTATGTTGTAGAACTGATAAAACTCAAGTCTCACAAACATACTCAAAACCTGCAGCTCCCAAAGCACCAAATTATTGCAAACCACATCGCATAAAACGAAACTAACATTAGCTGTAGAATCACTTGAATCCTTTTAATCAAAACTAAAAGCACATCTTTTCAATTAACTTTAAGTTGTAGATATATGATTATTTTACAGACAAGACAAGGTATTTTACGCATGCTGGTGTAATGATAATTGTGGGGAGCTTCAAAAACATATTAGTATTAATACTGAAGATTACAGATAAACCATCATTACTGACACAGCCACTCCACAAACACTACCCCTAGCATCCATCACCACTACCCCGCCCATCCACCACCACTTCTACCCCTACCACCCATCACCAATAGTATCGCTAACATGACATCAAATTGGTAGTTCGCTTACCAAGAAGAATTGTAATGGGTTTGGCCAGATGTCGTCTTTGAGTACCTCTCCGAGTTCGTCTGCCCCTGCTTCTGATTGCTCTGTGAACCAGCAGAAGAAGCTCTCATTGTCTGTGTGCGTCCTCTTGCGACCATCCTTCAGGTTACCCGACAGATTCCTCTTTGTCAGATCCTGCACAAGAGAAAGAAATGTTATAGGTAAAACTAGAACAGTGCCCTCATAAAGGGGGAAAAAAGAAGCGCTTTCAAGCAAAGATTTTGAAGAGAAGCAAATGAACCAGCAAAGATTTTGGTAGGGCACTACTATAAACTCAGCACCTTAAAAATCATCAACAGATAATTTCTCCTCCATTTGTTAGTAAAAGATCTCATACCAACGCTACATGGACATCATCATATGTTTTGCCACGCTTTATGGAATGATTTATTAAGATATTCATTACCCTTGCCAGGAAGAATTTTACCTTGGTATTTTTGCTCATCAAGACATCAACGCTCTGTACTCTAGGCCTGTCTTCATCAGACAGAAGTAACCCACTATTTTCAGACTCAGGATATTTTCATGAAGCTCAAAATTGTGTCTTCACAAGACCGATACGGTTATCACTAACTAGATGAAGATGATCACAAACTAGATGAAGACGGGCGCAAATTAGCCTGCTATTTTGGAAACAAGACCTAAGATTTCTCAGGATATTTTCTCTACTAAGTAGCCCGCTAATTGCAACTGCGGCCTGATGAAGACGCAAATTAGCTTGCTAATTTGAGATTGGACTAGTTAAAATAGCAGATTATTTTGCAACTTTGGTCTGATGAAGACAGGCCTCATGGGTGAGAACATTGGGGAGTTTCTTACCTTGTTGGGTTTCCACCTGATGGGCGTTGCCTTTGACTTGGGATCTCCCGTCTCGTTTAAGTGGAACTCTTTGCTTATTACCTCATTCTCAAAGTAGGGGTTCGGTGTGAAGAACTGAGGGAAAGTGCATACAAAGAAAAAAATAAATGAATTGGAGAAATGAGCAAAATCAGGTACGACTTTAGTGAATCGATTACTTACAGCTATCAATTAAAACTAATAGAGCATTATTGAATTGGTGGTGCTTTATGTTTAGTGATATCTCGTGCACAGCACGATAAAACCATATGAAATACATTTCAAACCTCTTCAAATTAAGCCAAAGATAATTACTATCCCCGTCTAGCAGTACTATCACCTCAAACAAACTATGCTAAAGTTGTCCATGAAACTGTCACAAACTTTTACTAGTGGCCAAAAATCCTAAAGATTCATGCTGCAATATAAAAGTTTGATAAATCACTACCTTGTGCTACAATTTTAAAACCAGGGCCTTACATGAAGCTGATGAAATGGAAAGAGGGGGTAGGAATCTTTGAATTATTCAATTTATGTCATAAACATCTCCAGCACTTGTAAAAAAGTATAAACAGTCTGGACTCATAATATAGCGCTAACAGGAAATAACATCTCTAAGCGCTTTAAAGATCATTACCCCAGTCATCTCATTCATCTTACCAGGTCCCCATTTGTCTCCTGGGTATGGAGTGGCAAATGTAGACTAATGCCTTGCTAAAGGACATTAAAATGAACAAAGTGAAACCTCCATACTTACAAAATTAATTCTGTAACCTGATTTGATGTCATCAAATTCTTTGACCTCCACCTTGGAGAGGTACTGTAGCGCATCCTCGTCTCCCTCGTCTAACAACATTGATAATTGAGGGTGATGTGTGAACTGAAGACAAATTGCAGGTTAAGGAGAATTCATGGTAGGACTCTAGAACCGTTTCATTCATAATAATTATTATTATTCATTTGACCAATCGGAATACATACGAAGAGTAGAACAATCAGATAATACATAGAAATTTCATAATACATGCAAACAGCTTTAGGAAAGTGGAGAGGAGAGAGAGAAGGATACTATCTGCTGGTTAGGGGTGACAAAAGCAATTGAAATTGCTATTACTTGAAAGCATGTCACCCCCCCCCCCCCCCAATTATAATTAATTACGGCTGCACAACATCCCACTTTCAGGTATTCAATCAGCTGTCATATTGTCATCACCAGAAATAGCCATTAAAAACAATGTTGACATACACTCACCGAAAAAGAAAAAAAGTGGACAATCTTTATTTTTCGAATTTTTCATATTAACAGTCATTAAAACAGGGGGCTCATGCAGACATAATCTTAAAATATCAATCCACCCTCCCGTGTAAGGTAAGATTTTATTCATTTTATTCATTTGCAGCCACATGGCTGACTTTAAGAAGTTTTTATAGCAATTAGAAACATCATGATCAATCACTGTTACATAATCAAATTTGACAATAAATCAAAGACATACTGCATTGTATGTAGTGATTAAATTTGCCCTGTGGAAAAAAAAAAAGGTCCACTTCAGCTTCCTACTAAAGTTCACATTAGTGCTGTAACATCACGGATATCTCCAATTCCGTTTAACCGCCAGTCAAAACTGGACGGTTTTCGGTTAAACGATTAAAAAAAAAAATTAAAAAATATAAAAATAAAAAAATAATAAAAAAATTAAAAAATCTTTTTTTTTTTTTTTTTTTTTTTTTTTTTTACCGACTCTGTCGGCAACTTTCATTTAACTGCGAGGTGCATTTAAAGGGGCCGATTTGTGCTTGTGAACTTGTCACAAAAAATAGTAACAATGTTGTTTTTAGAAGAATGGGTAAGATCATTAATGTAAATTAAAAACAGTAGAGGACCTAGGACAGAACCTTGTGTAAAAGTTGGATGAATTATTATTATAAACTACATATTGAGATGATGAGATCTATTACAAAGATTACTTTCAAACCAAGATGACAGACAAATTGGAGTGTTGTTCTAGTTTTGGAGTGGTGAGTCAACACACAGATTACTGAGCTGGGAGACATTGCCAGGCATAGTGCCAGGTGGAGGGGCATAAATCGAAACTTTTTATAAAAAAATTAAAAAAATAAAAAATATTTAAAAAAAAAAAATATATATATATATATATTAAAAAAAAAAAAATCAAAAAAAAATCGGGAAAACGGAATCCGCCATGGGCGGTCGGATACCAGACGGTTAAACGTTTGACTACAGCACTAGTTCACATATATCAGAAAGGATACTGTGGTTGCCCAAAAGTGAGGTATCTTCTCGATCAGCTTCGCCCTGTTCTCAAAGAAGGGTTGCCTCAACGCATTGTACTTCTGCTCCACCTTTAAGATCTCCTCACTCGCCATCTCGTTCAGGTTGTCGATTTCATTCTGAACATTGTCGATCTCCTCGATCGCCTGCTGGTGCTCCTTGTCTGGATATAAATCACCTGAAAACAAAAACAGCACATCAGATATTCATTAAGGTATGCTTATGAAATGCACTTTTATGTTAACTTGTATCTGTTGGCTTTTCTCAAACAAATATTGATGTACATCTATGAATCAATTGTTGATGAAAATATAACAATTAGACAAATTAGATGTTCTTGGGGTATGACATACATTACATGTATATCCTCAGGCTCCTGTTTTCACTGCAAAGATATTAGGCCAGGAGCCTACGCTAAAATAGACGCCCCATTTATTCCTAATATTTGACTGATCAAATTTAACTACACAATTAACTCATTGACCATGTTTTGGCCTGACCATAGCTGATCGGACGAGTCCCTAATAAGTTAGAACGATTTCACCCTATTCCAGCCCATGCACTATGTTAGTAGGAAGAAGTATGAATGGACATTATAAAACACACCCCCCCCCCCCAAAAAAAAAGAGATTTCTGTCGGGATGGGGCATCAGCCGTCAGAAGTGCTATGGCTGTACATTAAAAAAATATGAAAACTGAAAAGGGAAGGGGTAGTCTATACGTGTAAAACTCTCATGGAAAAAATGATAAGGAAAAAAACATTACCCTTAAATGAAGCTTCGCTGCCCCAAAAATGATATATGGAGAAAAGACATTTGTTTCACATTCTGATCTTTACAACTCAAAATCGTTTCATTCAATACATTTCTAATTCACATCGTGCAATGAGCGTTATCACTTTCTCAGAGACGCCAAGTTCAAAGATCGGCAATGCGTGACATTTTCATGATTCAGCGCGCGAGCGGGCGTGCGAGGGTATAACACACGAATAAGGTATAGCGTTTTTTCAAAATCTAGCGCGTTGTGCGTAAGAGCATTTTCAGACCCTAGAAATGCGTGATGTCACGCCTAATGTGTGATACTTGGTAGCTTAGACCGAAAACTTCAGTCTCTCTAATCGTCGGTTGTTCCACTGAGACTACGTCTGGCTCCACTAGACCTCCGATTATAGAGACTGAAGTATGGCCTATCGGGACTGTACGGGACTGTACGAAACAAATGGTTCGGTTCGACCGGACCGCGATGAAAGAGATATGCAACAAGATTTTCACTCTTTACATCCTCATAACTGCTGCAATTATAATAAAAATTAAAAATAACATATATATATAGCTTATTTGACTTACGATAGCTTGCTCATTTAGATCCTAAATTAATGATTAATCCGAGAAAGTCTCGTCAACATTATCCGTCTTGGTTTTAGTTGATGAATATTCATTTTTTCTTTACGAAAGTCCAATAGCTACCGTAGCTACGTACGAGTCAGCCCAGCTTGACCAACGAACTCCCACGAAACGAGTGCTCTGATTGGCCATTTGGCTATGTTTTGGTAGGTTGACCCGGAAATATTTTGGCCGCCGGGTCATATAGCCCTATGTTCGAGTGCATGAACGTACTGTTTCACAGTTCAGAGATACAAATTGGATAATTCATATAAGTCCGTAAATTATACATTTAATATTAAGTTATCACATTTTGATAACTGTAATTAGGACAAATGACATACCGACCTAATTTACATCTGATTTAGAAATCAGTAAATAAGATCTAAATAAAGAAAATCGGGGAGAAAATGTCGTGGGAGAAAATATGTACATAGCCACCCCCAGGGTACGAGATCTCTGTATTGAGGAATGACAACAAATGTCAGTTTTATTACAGAAATGACCCAAATCAGATGGTTATTTCTTTCTGTCTATTGGTAGCTCTGCTTTCTTGAGGTGCAATTTGGTGTCAAATAATCATTTCATTGATAATTTAATGAATTGTAATAATTGAATTGCTTTCTTAAAAGTAGCCACACAATATTGAGAGGTTTATGTAAATCCAAAGGGGCAATGTACAGTATTGCTCGAAATAAAGTAGACAGATTACCGCCGGGTCTCGCGGGAATCAATCCAAGATTGAGTCCCGCGGTACTCCCGCGGTAACTCTTCCCTGTGCGGTACACAAATGGCGGTAATTACCACGAAAATGTACCACGAGATTTTCAAGAAAATCTCGTAATGAACCATCACGTACGTCACTCCCTTTGTCATGTATCAAACGGAAAGGATTCGCACGTCGCTTTACCATAATTGTTTAATCACTTAAACGATGAATGACGCCGGGAGAAATGCTTTCATTCCTTATATTTCTGTCGACGGCTAAGGTTGTGATCGCGCCGCGCGAAAACGTGGGCTTATAAAAATTAGCTGACCAGTTGATACTCGCCGGCGGGCGGCGTCTCCAATCGCCTCGATCAGCTCAGTTACTAATGTTGGAGTTGGAGAAGCATAACCGTCCGTAGGTCATAACATGATCGCACTCCGAAATGCTCTATCTTTCATGGTCTCAAACGGCCTTTGTCATTTCTTGATAGCACTGTCCATGAGTTTGCATTGCAAATCATGTTTCTTTAAAAAAGAAAATATATTGATTTGTAAAGATTGCCGATAAGCCACTTCAATTTCTTCGCATGCCAAAGCACAACGAACTCTCCTAAAATAAGGCTCACTACCCCCCAAAAAGAAAGAACAAAAATTAGTGCTCATCCCCCTCCCCCCTCCCCCGAAATATCGATCGGCGCGATTTTCATATTTCAACCTCCTCTATTGGAAAATCCTGGATCCACCCCGTGGCCCATGTCACATTCCACCAGTCTTCAACCAGCAAGTCCCCAGAGAAACAAATTTATCTCTTATCTTCTTGACATAATTAAATCATTTAACAACTCGACTCTTATCTCAATCTCTTCTGTGTGACTTGATGACAGAGAAAGTGTATGTTACGCAATGTACGGTCTCTACGTACCCAGGCAGGGAGAAAGTTTTGGTTCCCACGATATGACATGACTTCTTGGAGCCTTGCCAACATAACAGCGTGCGTGATTATGCGCTCATGAATATTGATGAGTACGGACATGCTGAAAAACTGCTATGCAGAGCTGAAATCGTAGGTTTTTTTTTATCGATTTCCAAGTGATGTCAAGGGTAAATCATGAGAACGAATGTGTGTAAATATTCAAACATACTAAAAATAAGATAGTTGCGGTGTGAGAAACAAGAAAAAGAAGTAGAAGCATAAAAATAACAACGTCAATGTCTCCTCTTCTCCCCCATCTACTTCCTCTCTCTATTATCCTTTACTCTGAACGAGTCTCCTCTTCTCCCCATCTATTTCCTCTAGTATCTTTTATTCTTAACGAGTCTCCTCTTCTCCCCATCTATTTCCTCTCTCTAGTTATTCTTCCCCGGGTCTCCTCTTCTCCCCATCTATTTCCCCTCTCTATAGTATCATTTATTCCTACCCAGTCTCTTCTCATCCCGATCTATTTCCTTCTCTCTAGTATCCTTTATTCCTACCCAGTCTCTTCTTCTCTCCATGTATTTCCTCTCTCTTTAGTATCCTTTATTCTTACCCAGTCTCTTCTTCTCTCCATCTATTTCCTTCTATTTAGTATCCTTTATCCAGTCTCTTCTTCTATCCATCTTTTTCCTCTCTCTATAGTGTCCTTTATTCATACCCATTCTCCTCTTATAATTGTGATTAAGTTATGATAAAACATTGACAATTGTCGGTTTCGTTTTTTTTTTTCCTGGGAGGCACTGTATATGCCGATTGCGTATCTTAAATGTGGTGTCATGTCAATCAACACCAAAGTTCTAAAACACCGCGAAGTGTTACGCACCTTTGTTCCGAGAGCGCCGACTCGGGACATGGCGGGAATGTAATAAATATGTCATTATTTTACAAGCCGTTTGTTGTGACTGGATAACGATACAGAGTAATGCCACGTGGCATGAGAACATCATTGTTCAATTATTAGAGCGTACGGACCATTTAGATTGGAAATTAACAAAATTTAGGAAGCATTGGCGGATTCAGGATTTTCCAATAGAGGGGTGGGGGGGGGGGGCAACGGGGGCCTTTCCTCCCTGGCAAAAAACACTGACGGCCCCCACCCCTGCCCAAACAAGTTTTAAAATAAGATGGTAACCACAAAGTTACTTTTTTTTCAAGAAGGGGGGAGGGAGGGGCTGTTGAGTAAAAACATGATTATAGTTGTAGTGCTCACACTACCCCCCCCCCTCGAGCAACAAGAAAAAAATGTTTAAATTCCCCCCCCCCCCCCCCACCTCAATTGGAAAACCCTGGATCCGCCACTGCTTGCTTTACTATTTTCACCATCTCTCATATATCCTCTCTCATTCAATTGGAAAACCCTGGATCCGCCACTGCTTGCTTTACTATTTTCACCAATTCTCATATATCCTCTCTCATTCTACCTTAACGTATCATTTACTCAGTCCTCTGATCTTTCAACAGCCTCCATCTCTCTCTTGCATCCTCTTTCTTCCTCTAATTTTGATCATCTATTTCACCCGCTTTTTCATGCAAAATGTTTACTTCATTCTTTCCCAATCTTTCTTCTACTCTTTTCACCACCTCTCATATCCGAAATAATCCATAATGGCAAACGATGTTAGTAGGATTTACATCGTAACACAAAAGATAAATCAACGATGTACATGAAGTTTTCTCTCAATTTCCCAATCGATATTTTCTCGGCGTCATGATAAACATACGACACGTCCAAACACATTGCTTCCTGTCCTATAATTGACGTGAAACTTGCATCAGAAAATGTGCCCAAACCTAAGATTTTATCGAGCACTATATGCAATCAGTATTTAATCGGTTAATGCCATTAAATACCATTAAGGGGACCTTTAGAATTGGTTCATAAAAGGTGTATTGTTTCTCTAATCTCCCAGCCAGCGCCCTCGTCATCGGGCTCTTTGAAATAAGGGGACCTTTAGAATTTGTTCATAAAAGATTTCTTGAAGTCCGGTTTCTTTCAGGCTCAGCTCACATTTTGATGTGTAAGGGGTTCTCTCTCTCTCTCTCTTCAGATGAACTGAACTGTATTGTTCCCATTCCAATACAATTTACATATACTTACGAACCAAGTCATAATTGTCTGGCGGCCGCCAGATAATTCTATCTTTCCTTATCATGATTATGTTATTTTCCTTCTATCTTCTTCACTTTCAACCTTTCCTTATGGTATTCTTTGTTTTTATCCTACCACCTTCTTCTCTTTCTGTTTTCTGTATGTTACTCTTTGCTTTTATACTTCTATCATTTCTTCTTTCTATTTTCATTTTGAAATTCTTTGTTTTCCTTTCTATCTTCTGTTCTTTCCTGTTATTATTCTTTGTTTCTATCTTTCTATCTTCTCTTTCTATCTCTCCTGTTATTCTTTGTTTTATGTCTCTTTCTATCTGCATCATAACGTGAGGAAATATAGCTAGATTATTTGGCGGCCGCAAGATAATTCTTTCCATATGTTATGTTGCTTTATTTCTATCGTCTTCTCTTTCTAATGGCTGAGTGCAAATGAGGTATTGCCTGGGTTATCGGGCTACACATGAAGAGAAAATATTAACAAAATTATCCATTTTCAATGTTTAGGCAAGATTCAAAGCACAAGCTGACATTAGAAGGCGGACGTGGTTTATTTAAAAACGCTCAAGAAAAGCCTGAAATACAGGCGCGGATCCAGGGGAAGGAGCGTGCTTGGCCCCCTCCCCTCCCCGCCAAAATAAAAGAGAAAGAGAGAATGAGAATAAGGGAAATAAAGAAGAGAGGAAGAAGAAAGAAAGGGGGAAGGAGATCCTCTATTGTAACTATTTTTGTTTATACAACTCGTGAAATATATTGACCTGTTCCGTTTTGTTTGTTTTAAAATTAATCAAGTTTATTTGTAAACACTAGATCCAGCGGGAGGGGGGGGGGTTTAATATGATGTACATTTTGTTCCCATAATAACGGGAGACGGTTAATCCCATGAATACAAGAAAGAGGGTGGAGGGGAGCCAATAACAAATACCAAATAAATAGCAACAAACGAACAAACAATAAATGAATCAGAAAATATTACGAAATCGGTGAGATGGCCTCGGACCTCCAATTATCACCTTATTAATCAATCAATAATGATACCCCCTTCTATCTTTCACTCTATATCACCGATTGCGCTCTTATCCCTCCTTTTCTAATATTCCTCTCTTCCTTCATTCCTTCCTTTCCTTTTTTTATTTGTCCTTTATACTTTTCTATTATCTTTTGTTGTCTTCTACTATTTCTCCCCGTCTATGTTTCTCTCTACAGTTATTTAGGATCTCTTAAGTCTTATGGGGGGGGGGGAGGCCGTCTCGGCCTCCTGAATTCATTTTAACGTTCGTTTCTTTTTAGGTACCTTTTTCCAGTTTCGGAATTATGGACCCTATTTCATTTTCGGATTATGAACCCTATTGCATTTTTCGGAAATACGAACCTTCGGACAACCACCACCCCCCCCCCCCCCCAGGAACGATAACCCCCGTGGGCTTTAACATCCGAGGACAAATATCCCCCCCCCCCCCCCCGGGAACGAATATCCACGGAGGAGAATCAGCTCCCCTAGGACAAATATACGCCCGCCCCCCCCCCCCCCCCCCCCCCCCCCCGTTCATTGAAGGGGAAGTCCACCCTGATGATAATTTGCATTTTTTTCGGGGGGGGGGGCTGAAAATCAAAAGGGGTAATTTTCCGAGGGGGAGGGGATAATTGCCTTGGCCGGGGGTGTTCGTCCTATAACCCTTTTATTTATATCAAGTCTCCTCTTCCTCCCATGTAGATTTCCTCTCCCACGAATCCTTTATTCTTATCCAGTTTCTGATTCTTCCCATCTATTTCCTTGTATACTTTATTCCTTTACAGTCGCCTCTTCGTTCCATATATTTCCTATCTCTAGCTGATATCATTTAATCTTTAATATCTACATGTATTTCCCTTCCTTTTATCCTTTATTCTTTGATTCGTCATCTGAAGACATCACCCTTCATGGATGTTTACAAGTCCCGTCAAACATTGATTGATTAACAAGTAAATGACATGAGGTCACTGTCCTCCACACCTCTACCTAAACCCCGTCTTTCTACTTCCCTCTCTGCCCTCTCCCCCTCTCTCTCTCTATCTCTCTCTCCCTCCTGCACGTGATTACATTTCCCAGACATGTTTTGACAGTTCTTATCTAAGAAATATGACACGCCCCAGCCAGCTGAAACTGAAAGGGTTTGCATAGTCTGCCAATTCAGACGCCATACCATAAATGACAACTGAAAACGAGCAAATAATTATTTGCTTTTAAAAAATAAAGTTGCAAATTATTATTTAGCCAATGAGAAGAGTTAACTTTTCATCTGAAAATCACCATTTAGAGATAGAACGAGATTGTACGAATCGTTGTTGTAGTGGTTTTAAAAATGGAATTATTGTGTCCGAAACTAGACTTAGCTTTTATACCATCGGTGGTTCCAACAACGTGTGTAAGGGAATTAATCTTTCGGATAACCATGGATGTCCCTGGGATAACTTTCATCTGATTTTCGGATTTATAGTTAAACATGGATATTTTAAAAGTGGGACACGTCATAGAATCAGGTAAGTATGCAATCATTGATCGATCTGTAGCTAAACAAATTGCAGCTACGTGATTATGCTTAGTTAAGTCGTTTGTATTTTCAAACCAGAATGAGCAAAGCGATGTGGGAATACTTTATAACTCATGTCCTATGTAGTTATCAAACTTGCGTGCCTCGCGTATCGATGAATGAATTGACCTACATTCATCCCTTTGTTTCATTGTGTTTGGTTACTAGGTTACACGCTGGGGTAGTTTAAGTTTATCAGACCATTATAATGTTCAATGTATTTGTGGCTGCTTTTACCTCTTGAAATAAAGGCTCTTCGTTATTCAAATATTCAACAATTGTTCTGAAATAATGATGGTATGGTGAAATCCTACCCAAACTCGTTTATTCTCATTATCAATGAACATTTTTTTCAGCTAATTACAAACGATGCCTAGTTGGCTAACAACCATCATGTGCAGTACGTGCGAACTTGTAGAATCAAGTCAGTCAATCGGCAATTTCCATTCATTACAGATCAAAAAATTGAAATCCCCATACATCTCTCACTCACATTAACACACACATTTTTATTTATGTTTTGAGGATAGACTAAACATACAAGAATCTCGTGTTCTACGAGACTGCGGACTCCCAAATGTGGTACATTACCGCGGGACATTATGGTAGGTGGGAGTACCGCGGTAACCAGTTGGGTGGCGGTACTCAATAAATTACCGTGGTAATTTGCTCCCGCGCGGTACACGGCGGTACGGTGTCTACTTTATTTCGAGCAATACTGTAAGCATACATCATGTAGTCCCTTGCTGTTAGTGTACAGTGCAGTGATGGGGCTCCACTAAAAATTTACTTGATTTACAGTAAACAATCTCTTAAACGCTAATCTGTTCTTTAATAGTCAACAATATCCCGCATCAAGGAACAGTACCATGAACAGAACAGATAAGAGGACACACTTCTAAACATATTGTCATGGTTCATTAATCACATTGTGGGTTTTTGAGAAGTTGCGAGTTGAACACCTCTTCATCATCCATGATTTTCTTCATCGTTTCATCCTTGTTTTTATCCCAAACTTCACCTTTCATGTCATTTTGGTTGGCAAATTGATTAAAGTAAAGTAAAGAGGACATCATGCCTATGATGGATGCAAACATCATTAATGAATAGGGTGATGTTTACAGCTTTAATCATATGCATTGCACGTTGAACATGTTGACAAGCAAGCTCGCTCCAAATAGCTAGATTGCCAATACACATAACACACGCATGCACCACGGCGCTTCAATAGCCAGACACCGTACGCCATAGACCCACATACACTTCATACGTAAAACGCCACAACACATGCATTATAATGTACACAACAATAGGGGAACCATGCTTCGGCGCGACATGAAAACGAATCAAGGTATCCCCCATCTTACCAGACCCATTAAAACACTTCCCATCGAACATGACAATTAATACGAATGTAAGAAATCATAACGGTATACTCACTTTCTGATTCCTGGACATTTTGCCCATTCTTCGTGACTTCTTCTTTCCTAACTTTTGCTGGTGGAGACGACATTTTGTCTTCACGAGGTTACGCTCAAAGGTGACTGAGCATGCGCAGTGAGTTAGGAAGAGAGCAAAATAATTTGCTAGCATATGGGCGCATAAAAGTCCACATTCACTTTGTATAGAACGAAAACTGAATGTAGAGGCAGCGAAAATGCTGAACTACTTTGTGCATATGCACCGCGTGCAAATGGTTGATGCACTGACAAAGGCCTCGCGTTGAACATACGCGGGAATTCTAGAGTTGTTTCAGTCTGTATCATATAATAATTAATAATTTTATAATAAATAAAACACTAGAAAGAATTGAAAGATTTTTGGTATCGTTAAAAATTATCTACTTACAAATAAAAGTGTCAATATGTGCTTTTTTGTTCATTTTGTTGATTTTACTAACTCGTATCTTCATTGAAATTATATCAAAGACTAATTTCTAGCGTTCGTGATTTTCCGATGGTCGGCCTTGGGGTGGGGGTTAAAAAAACTCCGGACACAACCTAGTCTGACTCTCAGCTCGTTTTGAGTAGGACATAAGTGATATTTAGGTCGAAACGGCTACAGAGGGGGCATGGGGACGCCCCCCCCCCCCCCCCCCCCCCCACTGAATCGAGAAAAAGAGAAATGACTCGGGAAGTGAGAGAGAGAAAAAAAATAATGCAGGCAACGTGAAAAGAAGATGGTTTGATCCGCCACCCATTTATAAAAGAAGAAGAAGTCCCCCCCCCCCCACTCCTGGCAAGGGGTGGGGTGCTGAGTTTTTAAAAATTATTTGTGCTCACTACACCCCTCCCCCCCCCCCCCCTGTTGAGAAAAAACTAGTGCATGATTCAACGCTAAATATTTTCTCGCGAATGCCCCCCCCCCCCCCCCCCGGCCCCCCCCCCCCCCCACTCAGTGTTATTTAGAGTACGCATATGCTCGTACCCTCTTTTTGAAAGCACCCCCTATCTGAGGACTGCCATCATTTCCGAACCCCCCTTTCGCGGGCTTTTCGCGGGCTTTTCCTGCCTTGGAGACCCCCCTAAATCAGGAAAAATACTCAATGTACCCCCCTAAATTCGGAATAATTTCTCAGGAGTCCAAAGAGATGAGAGAAAAAAAGAAAAATACCCCCTTTTTAAAGAAATCTCCGGGTAAAAAGTCAAATACACCCCTTTTTTTACAATTCTCGGGCCGGACTTTGTTGCACGAAAAGTACCCCTTTACCGGACATTTTGGCAACACGCATGCGGTCATTCCGACCTCTGAGTGGGGGGCCGGGCCCCCCCCCCCCCCCTGGGTCCTCGCCGCCGGCTGGTTCCGCCCCTGCCGCAACCCCCCTCCCCCTTATTCCAGTTGCGTAGACGCGCGCATGGGATCATTCATCAAGAGGGGTGCCACCGATCTTTAGTCTACTAGATCAGCGTTTTTCAAACTTTTTTTATTTTATTCACGGCACCCTTTTTATAAAGTTTCGTGTCATCCAAATCCAAATATTATCAAATGAAAGAGGATTTTTTTTCTTTTCTCATCCCATCCTTCGTACATATAGACATAATAAACGTAAGGGCAATTTCTCGTGAGAGCTGTGAAGCTTGCTCAAAAATCAATTATCTGGATCCAAAATGTTTCTAGCGAGTGAAGCGAGCGCCAAAAAAATTGCCCTTGTATATGGCAAAAAATGTTATTTAGTGATCAATATATATACCCTATAGATAAAATGTAAAGTTATATATTCGGTCATCTTGTTGCCAGGAATCATCCTGATTTATCAATTTTGCGAGAATGGAGCGAACGGGGGGGGGGGGGGATGACATTTTGTTGTGGTATAAAGTAGTAGGATGTCTCGGGACGCAAATGAAAAATTATATTCTCTCCCTCCCTCCCTCCCTTTCTCTCTCTCTCTGTTTTGCTCTCTTTCTAGCCTCTCTTTCCCCTCTCTCCCTCCATCTAAATCTGTACTTCCCGTACTTTTACCTTCACTTCTGCCTTCTCCTAATTATCTTCATCTCTTCAGCATAGCCATCACCTTTATCGCTCTATTCACTATCCTTTCCTACCATATCTTATCATGAATCTTTCTCATTCCCATCTCCAAAATCATTTTTTTGTGAAAGTATTTTAGTTTTAAAAAGAATTACCACGCCTTCAAGCTTAGCTTATATTATGGCAGTCCTTCTTCATGATTATTTATTTTAGATGATGAATGAAATTGTTTATTATTATTATTATTTTGTAATAGTTTGTAACTCTGGAAAAAGCACATGAAGAAGAAAAAAAATCAAATTAAATCAAAATTAAATCGGTCTTGTCAATCAAAAATTATTACAAATATCATGAAGATATTTGCGCAGTGAGGTGCCCAAATATCGTCATACCATTTGGGAATATTCATCGACCTGGCTGTCTAAACCTATTCCGTTCCTAAATTTTGCCCAGTGAGCCAAGCGAGCGATGAAAAAGACACTTTCGATCTTTGTAATGTTATTTCCTCATCAAAATACTCGAAGTGGTAAATTTTAGCAACTTGCGGTTACTTTGCGTTTATGAAGTTGACGGTATTCCAAACTGTATTATATAACTAAAATTCTCTCGCGGCACCTCACCCCCAGTGTGCTATCACACCCAGGTTTAAAAAAAAACCGAACTAGATGGTAAAAGTATGAGGGGGCAGACTCAGGCGCGGATCCAGGGGGGGCCGAGCGGGCCTTGGCCCCCCCCCCCCGCAAAAAAAAAAAAAAAAAAAAAAAAAGAAGAAAGAAAAGAAGGGAAAGGGAAAAAGGAGAAAAGGGGAAAGAAAGAAGAGGAAGAAGAAAAGAAAAAAGGGAAGAAGGAGATCGGGGACCGAAAGGGCCTTGCCTCCCAGGCTGTCCCCCCCCCCCCCCCCATCAAAAAAAAATAAGAGAGAAGGAAGGAAAGGGAAAGAAAAAAGGAAAAGAGGAGATACTGGCGTACTGATAGAGGGGGGGGGGGCTTGGGGGAAATCAAATTCAAACGTGGTTTATTTCTAATTCCACAACGGTGGATTACAAATAATGCTGAAATGGCATAATTTCCGAAATTTTTCCTCACTTTTTAGTAAATTATACGTTTGTATGTGTTTGTTGAAAAATGACAAATTCCTAAATTTACAACCAGGCAAAAAATATGATTCTTGAGATTCGTACATGTCAGGGCCCGAGGTACGGCGGGGATCGAGAGCCTCGAGCTCCCCCCCCCCCCCCCCCCACTTTTCTTGAAAAAGTGTATTAAAGAGAAATAAAATAGAATGAGAGCAAGAAAGTGAGAATAGTTAACTGCCAGTATTAACAAAATAATGAGGCATCAAAATGCTCATCTGACTGTGATTAAATGCCTAAAACCCTTAAGCTTCCGGGGGCTTTGCCCCCTGGATTCCATCTAGGGCCCTACGGCGGGCTCTTAGATGATCATCTGACGGTAATTTAATGCCTAAAACCCCTGATATTTGGGGCTCCGCCCCCTGGACCCCACGCCAAATAGTGACTTGCCAGTGTCACAAAATAATAAGGTATACACAAAAATGTGCTCATCTGACCTTTATTAAACGCCTAAAACCCCTGAGCTTCCGGGGCCGGCTCCGCCGCCTCGACCCCACCAGGGGCCCTAAGGCGGGCCCCTGAATGCTTATCTGATCGTAATTTATTGCCTTAAACCCCTACGCTTGCGGGGTCGGACAAGGTATCAAGATGTGTTTATCTGACCACAGGCGCGTAGCCAGGGGGGGGGGGGGGGTGGTCCCCCTCTTATCGGAAGAGGACGTAGGAAGAAAAAGGAGCAGACAAAGAACATCTTTGAAATTCAGGCAAAGATTAAGAGTATAGAGAACGGTACAACGCATCGTTTTTTTTCTCTAATAATAAAACGTCAAAGCCTTGCGCAGGAGGGGAGGGGGGGGGCTGAATTCAGACGAAGATTCAGAAGCGAGAACGGTAATAAGAATCTTTAATGATTTAATGAAACGTAATAGCTTCTGCGCTTCGCGCGGGATGGAGGGGGGAACTAAATTCCGATGAGGTTTATTTTCGAGAACGGTACAATGAACCGTCTTCTTCTCTAACGATTAAATGAAGATTAAAAGCTTCCGCGCTTTGCGCGGGAGGGGGGGGGAACCTGAATTCAGACGAGGATTAAGAGTCAATAACTGTACAACGAATCGTCATTTTTCTCTTATGATTTAATGAAACGTAGAAGCTTCCGCGCTTCGCGCAGGAGGGGGAGGGGGATGGGGACTAATTTTAGACAAGGATTAAGAGTCGAGAACTGTACAACGAATCGTTTTCTTTCTCTAATGATTTAATGAAACGTAAAAGCTTCCGCGCTTCGCGTTGAAAAGGGGGGAACTGAAATCAGACGAGGACAAAGGGTAGAGAACGGTACAACGAATCGTCTTCTTTCTTTAATAGTTAAATAAAACGTCAATGCTTCCGCGCTTCGCGCAGGAGGGGGAGGGGGAGGTGGACTAAATTTAGACAAGGATTAAGAGTCGAGAACGGTACAACGAATCGTCTTCTTTCTCTAATGATTTAATGCAACGTAGAAGCTTCCGCGCTTCGCGCAGAAGGGGGAGGGGGCTGATTTTAGAAAAGGATTAAGAGTCGAGAACTGTACAACGAATAGTTTTCTTTCTCTAATGATTTAATGAAACGTAAAAGCTTCCGCGCTTTGCGCGGGAAGGGGGGGAACTTAAATCAGACGAGGATAAAGGGTCGAGAACGGTACAACGAATCGTTTTCTTTCTGTAATAGTTTAATAAAACGCCAAAGCTTCCGCGCTTTGCGCAGGAGGGGGAGGGGGGGCTGAATTTAGACAAGGATTAAGAGTCGAAAACTGTACAACGAATCGTTTTCTTTCTCTAATGATTTAATGAAACGTAAAAGCTTCCGCGCTTCGCGCAGGAGAGGGAGGGGGGAACTGAATTTAGACGAGGATTAAGAGTCGAAAACTATACAACGAATCGTTTTCTTTCTCTAATGATTTAATGAAACGTAAAAGCTTCCGCCCTTTGCGCGGGAGGGGGAAACTGAAATCAGACGAGGATAAAGGGTCGAGAACGGTACAACGAATCG